CTCACACTGCCACTCAATGAAATATGAAATATGTCGACGTGTGAACTAGCCAGGTTATCGATCTTTAGCTTTCAAAAAAGACACAGATCTCGTTCTGTACGGACGGTGCTTTAATACTATGAATCGGCTGTGGATACCTTCCTATTTAATTTCCTTCTCTAATAAACGTACCATTAAATCAACCGTCTTTCTATAATCCGATTTGATCGAAAGGCACAAACCCGGAAATCCTTCGAGTGTTAGAACATGCGACAGCTTGGGTACCCAGAAATGAATTTGTTGATGATTGTTGAGGTGATCACTGATCTAACCAAGTTTAATCCAGGTGGCTTTCAAACAGACTAAACAGACTGTGGACGTAATTTAATAATATATCCTTTTGACCTATAGACTTGCTACAAGTCGACAGCTCTCATAAGTTCTGAAGGGAAAAAGTGAGCGAAGCGAGCTTCAACGAGGTCGCGCAGCGACCGAGCGAGCGACGGAGTCGCAAGGTCCAACCGGGAAAAAATTTTTAAAGGACTTTTAGAAAGTCTACTAGACTTACTAAAATCTATAGTATTTTCTTATTTTTTTACAACGCTATATTTCAAAAGAAAAATGGACAGCACGTGAGGAAACTTGTAAGTGATAATAATAGCTTTAACTTTCTATTTCCAACCGCAATGGGACTTGTAGACTGCAAACACTCCGCATTTTTGCCCTCTCAAGTACGCGCGAACAGTCAAACAAGGGGTAGGAGGCACACAAACGAATCGAAATCTCTTGACAGTCAGAATTTGTACCGGGGCCGTTCAAGTGTGATACCTGGAGGGCTCTGCACCCAAAGAACGTCATTGTCATGTTATGAGCTAATTGAGAACTTTCGCTTTAAATAAAGTAAAAAGAAAAAAATAACAATGCTGTGCACATTGAATTTATGGCAGTAATTTCCCTGGTGACTGTGCAAAGCTTTGCCTAATGAAATAGGAGACGTCTGCACGCGGGCAATGCAAAGCTCTGTCTGATATCAGTTTCCTGAGTGCGCGGAGAGTAAAAACATGTTTACAAATGCTCCTATCCCAGAGCTAGGACAGAACTTAAAATTCCTTGAAGAAGCTTAAAATCGCAAATCCATGCTGTAAACTATGAAAGAAACGGTTTAAACCCTCAATTTAAACTCAACATCAACAGAGCGTTTAAAACCATTGTGCAACTGAAATGCCGAGAAGAAAACACCAAAGTAAAAAGCGATCTGAGAGTTTTCCGAGATAATATGGGTTCTCTGCGGGGAATTATTAGAAAGGGCAAGGAAATACTTCTCTTTGTACAAAAAACAATATCGTCCCATTCTTTACAATCGGAGAGAATTCGTTTGGAAATTCTGAGAAATTTATTACAAAACTTTATGCTCCATGTTCCTTTAGATAGTATTATTGAGTCAGTTATTGCTGTTGGTGGAGTCTTGCTTTGGGTGAGCTCTGTTTGCTGGGATACCCAATAATGACAATTCCAGTTTGGGATATGGAGCAAAACGGGAGGGAAGGGAGGGAAAAATGTTTTCCAACTTTCTTGTTGCAGTGAGCAGAGAGGCCTTGTGCCTCGCTTTCATGTCTTAAAAACACAATATATAATCTCCCGGATGGCAGGAACGACCCCTCCCCAGTAACTGGAGAAATGACACATTAATCAGTCACATTAAGCATAAAACCATTTATTTCTTTCAGAAATAAATTTCCTTTTCAAAGTCATCCACCGTCATTTAATACTGCACTGTGACATCTGGTTCTGTGTACAGCTGCCCCCTCCTCTCAACCAAAATCGGGGAGAAAGACGCCTGTGTCACGCCGCTTGCTAATGGTGTTTTTGTTTCCCCGATTGTTTTTGAGGGGATGGGGCGGCTGCACAAAGACTCCTAATTTCATTGACTATTTTAAATAAAATCTTTCCTTAGCCTTTGTACAGACACCCTCTCTCCGCTAATCTTTCTTATACAGACGTGTGACAGTTTATGTACTCTTCATATGCCAGATCCATAGTCGAAATTGAGCGAAATGTCAAACCCTTCAAAGGACTTTGGCAGCAACGCACAAGAAGAAGATATCTCAGATGGCGCAAATAGGGGGACTAGGGGTAAGAACAGCGACGCCAATGAAGACCCGCCCCAGCTTAGTGTTAAACTACCCCGCATGAGTGATATCCAGGTACCAACAAAGCTTCGGAAACATGCACGCCTTCCTGCCGACATTTTGTTACTGACTGTAAAGGACTGTGAGTTCGCAGCTTGCTATATGCATCTGAACAATCCATTCAGATGTTGGTTTGATGATGTCGGTTTTGTTTACCTCGAGGATGAGAATAAAGGCCAAGAGGAGAAAGTAAAAGTCGCTTTATTGCGATGTCATGAAGGTTCTGGTGTTCCGGGAGGTTCTGGTGTTCCGGGAGGCTGCTGTGTCAGTGCTTAAGCCCAAAGCAGTGATTTTAGTTGGAACCTGCAGTAGCCTCTGTCCTGAGGAAACCAAATTAGGTGATGTTGTAATATCTGCAAAGTTGACAACATATGGATTGAAGGTAGTGACAACCGAAAGAGAGCTGCACAATAATATAAGAACGTTTGCTAGTAAACGATTTCTTGACCTCATTAAGGATGCAGCACTTGGATGGGAGGCTCCTTTGAAGAACTCAGAAGATCGAGAAGTCAAAATTCACAGCAGCGGTGAGCTGTTGAGCATTCCAGAAGTAATCAATGCAGAATGGCGGCGTAAACAGCTGGCTGAAACCTTTCCTCCAGCAGTGGCCATTGACACTGAAGCCGAAGGTAATGAAATCCCAAGGGAAGTAGCCTGGGTCAGGCTCCGTAATGGGGGGGAAAAAGGCAAAAAAAGCGGTGAAAGAGCTCAAACAAATCGGCAAGCGAAGAGAGCCTAGCAATGGACTGGGGAGGGGGGAGGGTGCGGCGCCACCTTATACTGCCATTTTGTCCCCTTCCAAGACTCCCGTTCGAATCGCTTTGATGGTCTTTGATCGCTGAATATTTTTTCTCGTTCCCCCTCCCCCCGCCCCCCACTGTGGAACCTGGTCTCAGGCTACGGGGATTCGCGGGGAATATCGTCAGAAAATAGAGCTAAACCTCTCGGGGAGACCAATCTGGGTGTGGTTCAGTTTTAGTTGACCTCTAAGACAGACTATACTAAAATAGGCGATCAATTCTAGCAAAAGCTATAGTGACTGAACGTTGTCATCAACATAGTGTGACGGCGTTTGGTTTCTTTCTCCATATCCCTTTAGCCGCTACCCTAAGCGATTGCCGATACCTGTATGGGTAAAAAATACTCGTCTCTTTCATTTGGGTTTTCTAACTGCTCGGGAATAAAATACAATTGAGCGTTTTTCCTCCATTAAAAAGTAGTCAGATCACTGCATCGACACTCGTCGTATGTATAGTCCAAAGTGACGTCTTTCTGTTGCAGGATTTTACACAGCTGCATTTGACCTGCAAGTTGAATGGCTTGTTGTAAAAGGAATTGCTAAATATGCAGATGGAAGCGTGAATACAAATGAAAATTGGAGCAAATTTGCAAGTGCTAATGCTGCTTCTTTAGTTGCCAAAATTTTGAATGATGCTGTTGTCTTCCAAAGATGGCCTCACTATCAAGGAAATGATGATCATGTTGACAAAGGTAAGTTTGTTTCACTAGTTAATATAGAATTTACTATCCTTACATGTTTCTTGGCATACCCTGAAGCGGTTTAATGGTCTTAATGCCAACTTATGTTCATACACTCTTATATTACATGTACTTGTTTACGATGTTATGTACTAACTGAGCACCCCCGGTGGGAGGGGTACTCCCAAATATGCCAACGGTGTGTACCGCCCAGGGTCTTATAATAATAATATTTATACCCTGACCCTATTTAACTGGATTAGAAACACGAAAACTGATACCATATTAAAGGGCCAAAGCTGAAAAATGGCACCCAATTAAACAATTTAAGGAGAAAACAAAACCTTATGAATTTAACGGAAACACACAAATGTTCCTGAAATTGCTTTCCTAATACTCTAAAGTAAGTTCAGCTTTAGCAGATGATTTGTTTCTCGTCAAGCTGGGCACTTATGTGCTTGAATGTTAGCCGATAACGCTGCCCTATCTAAGGATTACACCGCGATTACAAAGTCAAAAGGCCAAGAGACCCTCAAAAACCATCCCCTATGGGGTGGCACATACCTATCTAACACTTTGTATGAAGCCAAGCCCATATCTTGGAGTACCTTCCCCCCCCCCCTCCCCCTGTATACTGATCACTCATTTCATGCACTGTACGCGTCACCAAACTTGACAAAATTACCAAATTAAATTTGCAACTCGAAAAAAGAATCGCGCTTGATTGACACTCAGGAATATATATAAATAAAGAAAGATGTGAACTCTACTACTGACAGTAGAACCCCGATAACTCGAACTCGGATAACTCGAATTCCTCGCTAACTCGAACAACATTTCCTTTCCCTAATCAAAATTCCAGTGAAATTTACCTCGATGACTCAAATTCCCGCTAACTCGAACTGTTTTTCGTTTCCCTTTAGAGTTCGAGTTACTGGGGTTCTACTTGGCTGTAGTTCATGTTTCTCGCCCCGTGCAAGGGAATCCAAGACAGTCTTAGTTTCTCGATTCCACGCTGTGGATTCTGAATTCGTTAGTGGGATTCCTTAAGCTGTATTCCGGACTCCAAAACCCAGGATTCCGGATTTCATAAGCAAAGTTTTCCCGGATTCCAGAATCCGGATCCCCTTACATGAGGTGACGTTTCCCTTTACTGAAGTTTATAGGAACTAAAATCAGCAAAGTTTCTATTTCACACAGTAGGCGTAAACGAAACTAAATGGGTAGCGGTTGAGAAAAGGATTGCCAAATTTGCTTGCTTATATTTTACTTAAGATTCTTAAAAATGCGAAAACATATATTATTGCTGTTACAGGTGTGAGAGCATCGCTATCTTTACCTTCCCTTCCTGCAATGGTTCCTAATTTTACAGGACGTCAAAGCGAGTGTGAGGAGATTATTGGTCACGTGACTTCTGAAGCTACTCGGCTCGTGTCGATCTGGGGTTCACCTGGATTCGGAAAAACATCGGTTGCTATTGCAGTGGGACACGATCTCCAGTCTAAAGAAATGCCGGTCTTTTGGCTTTCATTACGTGAACTGAAAACAAAAACAGATCTGACTTCAAAGCTTCTAAGCTTTGTTAAACCATCTGTCAGAAATGACCATCCATCTCTGTCGTATCCATCCCTTGATGATCAGCTTTGCCTACTTTTAAGCGAAATTTCCGATCGATCTATTTTCATTCTTGATAATGCTGATAATTTATTAGAAGATGGTGAGCCAGGCGTGAAGAAAGAGGTCATAGAACTTTTGAGAGAAATTCTCAGGCGAAGTAAGGCGACCATATTTGCTTTAACAACGAGAGAATCGCTAGGTTTTCTGAATGTGGATTTGCAAGGCCACCAGAGTGTGAGGATTAAACCATTGGATGAAGACTCTGCAAAGACGTTAGTAAAAGCCTTTCTTCCAACAGCAAGTTCTTCAGACTGTTCACGAATCCTGAAAATCTGTGGATTTGTACCCTTTGCAATAAAGTTATTGTGTTCATCAATTTCTGAAGATGGGGCTCAGCCAAGCCAGTATCTCGATGAATTCATACAGTTCGCCTCCACAGCGAGTATCGCCAAGATGTTAGACAGGCCAGATTACCCAGACGAGTACAGATTACAGTCTCTTTTTGAGTTATCTTTTAAGAGGCTCACTGCACAGGAGAAAAAAGTACTAGTTTCATTGAGTATTCTTCCAGAGAATTTTGGCACTGAGGTCGCTGCTGCTGTTTTAGGCGAAAACAATCTTCAGGCCAAGAAGTTATTGCACGGCCTTCGGAGGAAGTCACTTCTTGATTCAGATGTGAAACAAGAGTTATTTACAATGCACAAGCTGCTACAATCATTTGGAAGAGAAAAAGGAGAAAATGAGATGAAAGACACGGTCCTTAAATCAAAGGACAGGTTGAACGCGTTTTACGTGTCCCTTTTTCAGAAGCTAAATGAGCAGTTTCTGACTGGTCATTCAATGACGGCGTTTCTTCAATTCTATGAAGATGAGCAAAGTATTATTCAAAGCCTATTAAATACGCTTGCGGATGCGAAGACAGCTAGCACTGCTTTTGATGTGTTAGCTAAGGGAGAGTTGTTTCTTGATACTCTCTTTTTCAAAGAAGGATCAACCTTTTACCTGATATACGATTCGGCAATAGAGGCTGCGAAGAGGTTTGAGAGAACCGAATCTTACAGTCGACTACTAGTTTCAAAGGCGTTTGGAAAAGCATGTTGGGGTGCAAAGGGAAATACGGTGCAGTTACTTTCTAGAGCAAAGGAAGCTGTAGTGTCACAGCGTCCAATTTCCATGTCAGAACTACAAGGAAAACGTCTGTGTTATTTAGGTATCAACCACCTTGTTAACGGCAATACGGAAGGCGGAATTCGGAATTTGCAAGACGCTCTCCAGATGTTGAGTGGAAGTCCAGATCAGAAAAATCTTACGCTTATTACTCTTCAAATTCTTGCAACCTTTTGCCGATTTCAAAACACTTCAAAGGAATTAAATGAATTACTTTGCAATGCAGTGGGAGATAAAGACCAACTGCCATTGCTATCTTTAAAACAAGGGAAAGGAAGGAAACTTAGCAATGTGGCGGAGAATCAAAGAGGTGTTATCCCCGTTTCTGACAACCCTATGAAACTGGCAATGATTTATATTGTAATCAAAACAACTCAGAATTTCATTGATAGTGACACTAAACAGTATTTTACAAATATTTTACATGAGATGCTGAACGAGATCGAAAGAGAGGACCATATCTCCACGGGAGTCTGTAAATTTCATAGGCTTCTTCTGTCTGTTTTAGCTAAAATGGAAGACACCACATTACAGTGTCAAATGAGAATTAGTTTCCATCAAAAAGTTCTAGATCGGTGTAGTGAGAAAACACCCTTGTACCGGGTACACAAGGAAGCACTTGCAGCGTGCTACAAAGACCTTGGCATCACTCAACATTCAAGTGAAGATTTCAAAGCAGTACTAGATTCTAAGAAGCACGCACTTAACATCCGCCTTTAACTGTTTGGAGAAGAACACAAAGACACTGCTGATAGTTATTATAGCCTTGGCATCACTCAACATTCACTTGGAGACTTTAATGCAGCACTAGATTCTAATCAGCACGCACTTAACATCCACCTTAAACTGTTTGGAGAAGAACACGCAGATACTGCTGATAGTTATTATAGCCTTGGCATCACTCAACATTCACTTGGAGACTTTAATGCAGCACTAGATTCTAATCAGCACGCACTTAACATCCGCCTTAAACTGTTTGGAGAAGAACACAAAGACACTGCTGATAGTTATTATAGCCTTGGCATCACTCAACATTCACTTGGAGACTTTAATGCAGCACTAGATTCTAATCAGCACGCACTTAACATCCGCCTTAAACTGTTTGGAGAAGAACACGCAGATACTGCTGATAGTTATTATAGCCTTGGCATCACTCAACATTCACTTGGAGACTTTAATGCAGCACTAGATTCTAATCAGCACGCACTTAACATCCGCCTTAAACTGTTTGGAGAAGAACACAAAGACACTGCTGATAGTTATTATAGCCTTGGCATCACTCAACATTCACTTGGAGACTTTAATGCAGCACTAGATTCTAATCAGCACGCACTTAACATCCGCCTTAAACTGTTTGGAGAAGAACACGCAGATACTGCTGATAGTTATTATAGCCTTGGCATCACTCAACATTCACTTGGAGACTTCAATGCAGCACTAGATTCTGATCAGCACGCACTTAACATCCGCCTTAAACTGTTTGGAGAAGAACACAAAGACACTGCTGATAGTTATTATAGCCTTGGCATCACTCAACATTCACTTGGAGACTTTAATGCAGCACTAGATTCTAATCAGCACGCACTTAACATCCGCCTTAAACTGTTTGGAGAAGAACACGCAGATACTGCTGATAGTTATTATAGCCTTGGCATCACTCAACATTCACTTGGAGACTTCAATGCAGCACTAGATTCTGATCAGCACGCACTTAACATCCGCCTTAAACTGTTTGGAGAAGAACACAAAGACACTGCTGATAGTTATTATAGCCTTGGCATCACTCAACATTCACTTGGAGACTTTAATGCAGCACTAGATTCTAATCAGCACGCACTTAACATCCGCCTTAAACTGTTTGGAGAAGAACACGCAGATACTGCTGATAGTTATTATAGCCTTGGCATCACTCAACATTCACTTGGAGACTTCAATGCAGCACTAGATTCTGATCAGCACGCACTTAACATCCGCCTTAAACTGTTTGGAGAAGAACACAAAGACACTGCTGATAGTTATTATAGCCTTGGCATCACTCAACATTCACTTGGAGACTTTAATGCAGCACTAGATTCTAATCAGCACGCACTTAACATCCGCCTTAAACTGTTTGGAGAAGAACACGCAGATACTGCTGATAGTTATTATAGCCTTGGCATCACTCAACATTCACTTGGAGACTTCAATGCAGCACTAGATTCTAAGCAGCACGCACTTAACATCCGCCTTCAACTGTTTGGAGAAGAACACAAAGACACTGCTCATAGTTATAATAGCCTTGGCATCACTCAACATTCACTTGGAGACTTTAATGCAGCACTAGATTCTAAGCAGCACGAACTTAACATCCGCCTTAAACTGTTTGGAGAAGAACACAAAGACACTGCTGATAGTTATTATAGCCTTGGCATCACTCAACGTTCACTTGAAGACTTCAATGCAGCACTAGATTCTAATCAGCACGCACTTAACATTCGCCTTAAACTGTTTGGAGAAGAACACAAAGACACTGCTGATAGTTATTATAGCCTTGGCATCACTCAACATTCACTTGGAGACTTCAATGCAGCACTAGATTCTGATCAGTACGCACTTAATATCCGCCTTAAGCTGTTTGGAGAAGAACACAAAGACACTGCTTATCTCAGCCTTAGCATGACGCAGTTATTACTCAGGGACATTAACGCCGCTCTAGATTCTTTATGGCACATAACATAACTCAACTCTTTCTTGATGCCTTGGAGGAAAGTAATAGAGTCAATAAAGCATACACCTCACATCGAGATTAAACTAGGACAAGAGAACGCATGTTCTGGCTGAAGTGGTAGCTATGGATTTGTTTATTTTATATCTCACGGCAACTCTGGTATAAACATGAACAATAGACTTTGTTGTTGAGCCGCTGACACTCTCTTGCAGGGTCCGGAAGGAGGTTCTTAATCGCGCATTCCCGCTTCTTTTTCACAACAATCCTGCATTTTGAGGTTATGCCACTTCAATACCGAACACCGTTTTCTTCCCCCAACACCGCATCCCGTGCCAAGACTTTGGCGAATCCTGGTTGCCGAGTACAGTAGTGGTCAAATCCCGTATCCCGTCAAGATATATATTATTTGCGTTTTCCCGAATCCCACACCATATTTCGGTCAAATCCCGGCTGATCCCGAGAATACCCTTCCAGACCCTGGTGTTAGTGTCTTTGTGATCAGAAGTCAGCAGAAGATTTGATACACGCAAAACATGCTTATAGGCGTTTCTACTTTCTACGAAAGAGATCCTGGGCTGTTCCTTTCTGCTCTCGTGCTGATATTAGGGACCTAGGATCCGAGGACGGCGACAGCGACGGCAGCGTAAACGTCGCTGAAAAAGTGAATTCGCGTTCTTTCAGTCTTCATCACGATTACTCCAAGTCACTAACTTTGTCAAATGCAGGTGAATCCTCCTAAAGTTAAATTCCTAAGAACCATATCCAAGTTCAGAAAGAGAGAAGATATTTCGTCGTCACTTGTGTACTCCCTCTGTAAAACGTGAAATGAGGCATTTTCACGTCGTAGCCGTGCAGCGGGACGGCAAAGAAATGTACAAAAAAGCGTGATGGTTGTTAAACCTTTTCCTTTTTTGACGTTCTTGTTGCCGTCGCCGTCGTCAAAGAAAAGAGACTTTAACTTCCAACGACGCGACGGCGACAAGAATTGAATTTGCGTTATTTCAGTCTTTATAGTGATTATTCCTACCCACTTACTTCAGGGGCACCCAACGAGGATATAGTTCAAAACCACTTAACATAGCATTGTTGAACGTATTTAGTATTTAAACGGTAGATATAGGGATATTTTTATCCCCTAAAAACTTTTCATCTGTTCGGATTTCCTAGCTGAAAGTCTAGTGATCCGAAAATTATAGTGATCAGAACTTACCTTTTCGAAAATTTAAGCCAGGAAAAGGCTCCCGAAAATTCTAGGTGGCCTTTTTGAGGGTGAATATCCGTTTAAAATGGGTAATTATACCATTTTGTAGATGTTCGAAAATCCTAGGAGAGGCAGGCAAGCAAGAAAATTCTAGTTCTCAAATCGTCTTCCGAACAGATATTTTCCCGAAAATTGCCGTTGGGTGCCCCTGTTACCTTGCAAATTGTAGGCGAACCCTCCTGAAGCTGAATTTCAAGGGACCATATTCAAGCTCAAAAAGAGAAATAAAATTTCGTCGTTGCTTGTTTGCGTCCTCCATAAAACGCGAAATTAGGCATTTTCACGTCGTAGTCGTGCAAAAACGGGAAAGAAATGTACAAAAAAGTGTGATGCTAGTGCGAAGTTGTTGGTTTGCTAATTAAACCTATATTTTTTTGACGTTCTCGTTGTCGTCCGCGTCGTTGGATCTTAAAGTCCCTAATATAGGCCTTTATGCCGCGGTAATACGACTGAGCCCGCTGATACACGAGGGAGAGCAGCGGTATAAACCATATATAGTCGGCGATCCCCGGATGGTGTCCCTGCTGTGATCCCCCTTTGAAAAATCCTGGCTACGCCCCTGACGAAGATTTCCTAATTACTTTGAACAGTATTATATTACAACCTTGAAGTTTAAAAAGATTTTCTCAAAGCAGGTGGGTTTTGTAGTCAATATAGAAGGAGGTGCCAATTCGTTGATCGGAAAGAATTGTGAACTAGCAAGTAGTAAACATCGTAACGAATAAAAGCGTTCAAAGAAGAGAAAAGCCTCACCCTTTTGTTGAAGAACTTGCTAGTTCCCTCTAAAAAGTCGTTGAATACAGGGTTTGTCCACTAGGGTAGCCAATCAGAACACACGATTTACTGATCTTTCCTGCTCGTAGTGCCAGTCTAACAAAATTTGAGAAGATACAGAAAGGAGCTATCATCTTGTTATACAGAGATCAGCGCCTTTTTAGGGTCAAAAAATGTTCCCTCTTTTAAAAAAGTTCAAACATTGTTCCCGTTTAGGGAATATCCATTAAGTCTAAAGATATTTTTAGCCCAAAGAAAGTGTCATGTGACCTTCAGGGCACTTAAACCTCAGCACACGTGAAGACTGGGCAAATCGCGGCTCACGAGGACGCCTCCCGCTTTCTTGATTGTGAAGACGATGCGCAACCGGACTGTTCTGAAATGGCCGCCTTTGTTGAGCGTAGTTTTGAGGTACCGTTCCAGACGAAAACGTCGAAAAACCGTACATTACAAAAGGAGCAAATTCATGTGAATGTAAGTCACAGGGGGGGGGGGGGGGGGG